TTTACTCAAAGAGTGAAGAAGAGCATGAGGAGCACTTGATACTTGTTCTTGAGACACTACGGGAGAAGCAACTCTATGCCAAGTTTTCCAAATGTGAATTTTGGCTAAGGGAGATCGGCTTTCTCGGGCATGTGGTTTCAGGATCAGGGATTGCCGTAGATAACAAGAAGATTGAGGCCATTACTGAATGGGAAAGGCCAAAGAACGTCAAGGAAATTCGTAGCTTCCTTGGATTGGCAGGGTATTACCGAAAGTTCGTGGAGAAGTTCTCAGTGTTGGCATCGCCATTGACAAAGCTCACTCGAAAAGGGGCCAAGTTTGTATGGGATGACCGATGTGAGAAGGGATTCCTTGAACTAAAGAAGAGATTGACTGAGGCACTGGTACTCGCATTACCCCAACAGGGTATGGGGTACGATGTCTATAGTGACGTGAGCATCCAAGGGCTCGGATGTGTATTGATGCAGAATAGGAGGGTGATTGCTTATGCTTCACGACAGTTGAAGAAGCATGAGGTAAATTATCCTACTCATGATTTAGAGTTGGGGGCAGTGGTTTTGGCATTTAAGATTTGGAGACATTATCTCTACGGGGAAACATGTCATATATACACTGACCACAAAAGCCTGAAATACGTGTTCACTCAGAAAGAGTTAAACATGAGACAGAGATGGTGGATGGAGTTGATAAAAGATTTCCACCTAGTTATCGAGTACCACCCCGGTAAAGCCAACGTGGTAGCGGATGCCCTGAGCCGAAAGAATTCGTCTGGGGCGTTGCTGACTAGTTTGAGGGCATTGAGAGCCCGATTGGAGGTATCTAGTGATGGTGCCTTGTTAGCTAGATTCAAGGTGAGACCTACATTACTTGATGAAATCAAGAAGGGTCAAGAAACTGATGATGAGCTTATGAAGGTCCGTGAATGCATGCTAGCGGGGCCGGTTGAGGATTTCAGGGAAAGAGACGATGGTCTCTTATTATTTCGTGACCGAGTGTGCGTACCGTCGGATGACGGGCTCCGAAAGTCCATCTTAGAGGAGGCCCATTCATCGGCATATGCCATGCATCCGGGGGGCACGAAGATGTACCGTGATTTGAAAGAAAGTTACTGGTGGTCGGGTATGAAGAGAGAAATAGCCGAATACATCAGTAGGTGTCTTACTTGTCAGCAAGTTAAGGCAGAACATCAGCATCCAGCCGGGTTGCTACAGCCATTTTCCATTCCTGAATGGAAATGGGAACACGTGGCTATGGATTTGGTGGTAGGGCTGCCACGGACGATTAAGAACTATGATGACGTATGGGTTGTGGTCGATAGACTCACGAAGAGTGCACACTTTCTACCTATCAACACCACATATGCACTGGAAAGGTTAGCCAAGTTGTATGTGGATGAGATCGTGAGGCTACATGGGGTTCCGATAACCATTGTATCCGATAGAGATCCGCGATTCACATCACGATTTTGGCCGAAGTTCCAAGAATCTATGGGGACAAAACTGAAATTCAGTACAGCTTTTCATCCACAAACGGATGGGCAATCCGAGCGGGTTATACAGATATTAGAGGATATGCTGAGAGCTTGTGCATTGGAGTTCCAAGGGAGTTGGGACAACCATTTGGCACTTGTGGAGTTTGCCTATAACAACAGTTATCAGGCGAGTATAGGCATGCCTCCATACGAGGCATTGTATGGGAGGAGATGTCGTACACCTTTGTGTTGGGATGAGGTTGGCATGGCCAAACTCGAGAGCACGGAACTGGTGGAGATCACCAAGTCAAAGGTGAAGATGATTCGTGACAGACTCAAGGCGGCACAGGATAGACAGAAGAGCTATGCCGATAAGCGCCGAAGAGCCTTAGAGTTTAAGGTTGGAGATGAGGTATTTTTGAAAGTTTCACCTTGGAAGGGAATCATCCGATTTCAGAGCCGAGGGAAACTTAACCCACGCTACATAGGGCCATTTGTGATTCTTGAGAGAATTTGGGCCGTAGCATACCGATTACAGTTGACTCCGGAATTGGAGAAAATACATAATGTATTCCATGTGTCTATGATTAAGAAGTATATTCCGGATCCATCTCATGTACTAGAGAAACCGCCCGTGGAAATACGGGAAGACTTGAACTACGTCGTGCAACCGGTAAGGATACTTGACAGGCAAGTAAAGAAGCTAAGAAGCAAGAAAGTTCTAATGGTCAAAATCCTTTGGAAGAGTGACCGAGTGGAAGAAGAAAATTGGGAGACTGAGGTCTGGATGAAGGATCAGTATGCATTTCTGTTTGAATAACTGTTGTGAATTTCGGGGGCGAAATTCCCGTTAAGGGGGGGTGAACTTGTAGCACCGCCCCCAAGCATATTTACTTTTAGTAAATTATGTAATAAACCTTGAAAGATGATTTATGAATTTACGTAATTGTTAAATTTTATTATTTCTTTTACGTGAATAGTAAATTGCATGTGGGGCCCACAGCGGGAACGGGGACCGCCCGATAATTCCCGAACCACATATTATATTCATCTTGGTCTGGATGACATCTATATGGTGCTGGATATTCTATTTGGGCCATAAGAAAGGCATGGAGTTGACCGGTTGGTCAAACGGGGCCCAATTACCGGTATTGGTAATTTAGCGGATAACAGCCCGAAATGAGTTTCGGAGACTCCTAAATTTATGTTGGGGAATGTACATCTATTCTAAAGGCCCATAATTATTGGGAACGTGTGATATATTTTATCCGGCCCGATAAAATAAAATATGACTAAAATAGTCCGAGAAATACAACTTTCAGGGCCGATTATACACACCGAGACTTAAAGGGATGACCGCCCACATGAGTGGGGGCCACCCCACGTCCTTATGGACTGAGTGAGAGCAGAAGGGGACATTCAAACATGGGAGGTGCGGACTCATTGAGCGAGGAGATTTCTTAAGACAAAGAAATCACTCCCAAGGGCCCATACACATGTATTATCTTGGGAGTTGATTGGGGAGATGTTTCCCCCTTCCATTTGACATCATCCACTCGACCAAGGCAGAGAGAGAAGCTCTAGGGAAGTCTCCTCTCATAGTCCAAGCAGCAAGGAAGAGAATCCAAAGAGAAGAGAGTTGTTTTTGAGGTAAGAACTCAATAAACAATCATTAACTAGTTTTATTATTGTATGATTTTTAAGAAATCATATGGTGGATTAAACCATGAGTTCTACACGTTTAAAAGTGTAGAATACTGATATAAAGTGGTGTTAATTAACTTAGAAGAGTTGGTGAATCGATAGGAGTCGAAATCGCCGGAAACCGCCACATATAGGGAGCTGTTCGTAGTTGCAGACTACGAAAGCCGCCCGGCTTTCGTGAAAGCCGCCCGGCTTTGGCCCAGAAATCCAGCTTTTCACTTTCAATCGGCCTAGAACGGGGATTGATCGAGGGGCGTAACAAAGACAACTATTGTAGCACATCACGAGGTGAGGATGGCTGACTATATTGCTTATATCTGTTGGGTTAATTTCGTAAGATTACCTAAGTTATTAAATGTGATTTTCATGGATTACTAATGAATAATAATGCCTAGATGAAAATACTATTGCATGTGAAAAAGTGAAGCATGATATACAAATTTAGAGTAAATTGTGTATGATTATGTGATATGAAAGTGATGGTATGATGATGAGATGAACTATGATAATATTGTGATAAAATATACTTTTACTTCATGTATGAAATTCATGAATGGTTAAAAGTGATATTTTTGATATTTGGGTTAAATTATACTTGGATTGGAAAATCAATTGAGATGAATTAATTTGCTATGAGTTAAGAACTTGGTGGTTCTAAGATTATCCGACTAGTGTTGGAATACTAGTCGAGAGATTAATATAAATAAATGATGGATTTAATCCTAAGAGAGGATTGTAAATGGGTATGCCTTAAGTAGTCTTAAGAGATACTTTAAGGTTGAATTGTATGAACACTAAGGTGTGGTAGGGTAGGCCTAAAGGCTACCCCAAGTGAATTGATTCTGGGCATAGGATTTGCTTGAGAATTGGACTATGAAAATAAAGTAGAGTTGGACTCTAGGATTGCATGGAAACGTAGTTGGGCCGAGCCCTTGCCATGTAATGTGATTAGCATGGAAACGTAGTTGGGTCGAGCCCTTGCCATGTATATGTGATCTCCGTGGAAACGTAGTTGGGCCGAGCCCTTGCCACGAAGTTATGGTTGGTATGGAAACGTAGTTGGGCCGAGCCCTTGCCATACAATTTTAATGCGTTAAATCGAGATAGAGGATTTTATAGAAATGTAGTTGGGCCGAGCCCTTGCTATAAAATCAGGGCTCGATGGGACCCTACGGGGTTATCGTGACACGCAGTCACGGGGGAAAGAAAATAATGAATTCTAAATGAATATGGGCCCACGGGCCGACTACTTGACTCTATATAAAGTAAGTACAGTTAAAAGAAAAAGGGGTAACTGAGGGTTATGGCCTATCATATAATATCACCCTAAGTTGAGGGTCTTAGAAATTGAAACATCAATTATACTTAGTATAGTTGCTATTGTACTTGTCAAATATTTCCAAGTAGTGACCTCCCCTTCACGGGGGAGGCCACCTCACAGTTTCAGGTAGAACTTGAAAGTTGCTGCCACCGCCCGTTGCTTCGGGAAGATCAAAGGAAGAAGACGTGATTCGTGCTTCTTCCGTTTCTGTTTTGAAAACAATTTAAATAATGCTCATGGATATTGTTTTGAATAATTACTTTGGGGCTTGTATGCCCATGTTTGCCAAGGTGTGGCATAAACACTTGTGTTAAATGTTTCCGCTACTATAAATGTTTATTTTATATTATGTTTGTTTATGGATGTACTATGTGTGAATGGTATTCAAGACGCCTTGTATAGTATGGATGAGTAGGACTGCGGTTGACTATTCGTACTATACGGCGGGTTGTTGACGTATTCGGGTAGGTCCGGGGCGTGACATAGTGACTTTTGATGTAGCAGCGCTTTATAGCTGGGGTAGTGCGACTTTAGCATACCTATATCGGCAGTTATGTCGAGGTTGCCATTGTGACAGTGGAGAGATGGGTGGTTTTTTATTGCTCGTACAACTATGGTCATGGGACGACAATCATATCGGCAGACCTGTCATACTGCGATATCATGGAGTAGATGGCGGTCCTCTTGATGATGCTATGAATCAGCACGATGCATCTGTACTTGGGCCACATCATGTCCGTGGCGAGGACCCTTTGGGCCGTAGGTACGTTTAAGATTTTTCTTTTTGAAATTTATGTATGACGTACGTGAATCCCTTTTATATTCTTATGCATTACTGTGTGTCAGATGGCTATTTGCTCACGTCACACGCACGTCATCCGCCGCTGGATTAGGGTACTACCGAGATGCTTTAGATCGCATGTGTGATGATCAGGTTTATCTTGTATATCATTAGATGTAAGTACTTTGTTTTACGTTTTTATAAACTATGATGTAACACTGTTTTGTTTTATAGATGACGTGGATGTCGTACACTCATGAGATATTTGGATTGTTGCCTCCTGTTGGCTGAGAGCACACTGAGATATGGCGAGCACGTGTACCCTTGATATGTTTTGATGTAGTAGAGCATCACTTTCTTGACCGCGTACTACGACAGTTCGGGTTGCAGCAGGTTATTCCTGAACCTTGTGATACATCTGTGGACTTACACAAGATTGACAGACGAGGGAAGCACACTGAAGATTGAGGGATGCGTCATATTCAGTATATCACTATGTGGGATGAGAGAGCGACGTATATAGTGCACAGTACCCCATCCTTAGTCCCTACTGTAATACTCAAAAAGTTTGACATAGGGTCTTAGTTTATGTTTCGGGACGAAACACCTTCTAAGGAAGGTAGATTGTGACACCTAAAAAAAAAGTTAAATAAATAATTTTATTTGTCAGATAAAATATTATAAAAGTGACATATATTCTATTCGGAAAAATATTATAGAAATGATATTAGTGATCTTTTAATGACCAGTCTTAAAATTTCCTATGGACCAAGTATATTTCATACTAGTGCGTATTAATAACAATAAAAAAAACTCCCTTTTGACCAAATCATGAGTTGCGGTTGACCTTAGTATGTACTAATACATGAGCTACATAACGTACTGTGAATCTAACGCATATCACACGCCGGATTCAAACGAACTAGAGTCTTGCTGCTACACGAACTCTTATACTAAACGTACGCGAAAAGGACGGATGCGAAAATATTTTTATACGAACTTGGAGTCTTCGTAATCCTATCGGATAAGCTCGAAATTAAACATAGGAACTTCCTATATAAATACCTGCCATAGGCCTACGCTAAAGTTGCGGAGTGCGACAACTCTAGAGGCGAACACTCAAGAAAGCAAGAAAGGGCGTCGAGGAAGAATCCAAACGTAGACTCAAGCTAAGACGTATGGTGTTTGAGGGAAGAATAATCTTGAGTAAGTTTAGTGCTTCGGGGACGAAACATCTTTTTAAGAGGGGTAGAACGTGACACTCCGAAAATTTAAATAACATAAAATAGTTAAAACAGTTAATTTCAGAAAAATAAAATAGTTACTTTATTAATTAGATAAAATATTAAAATGTAGAAGAGCTCAGTGACATATTAATGTTGGTAATTAAAATTCTTCTAGGCAGCTATATTTTTATGTTAGATATTTTGCTAGAACAATAAACTACTTTTCTTATGGACGGTTGGATTTTTTTTTTAGAATATTTTAAACGGCTGAACATTTATTTATATAATAATAATAAAATAATAGAAATAATAATTTGTTATACCTTACATACATCCATGCGTGACTTCAGTTTGAAAGGAAAGAAAAGAGATTGACCCCATATACATACGACATACATACGCATACATGCGTATAACCATAAGTGAGAAATAATGTCCGACGGATCAAAGCCTTAATAATGAACAATAAATATAATTAAAACCGAGAAGAAAACGGCCCGAAGGATTTGCCCACTTAAGAAACCCTAGTCTAAAATTTTCCATGCGTGTATATAAAGATACACACATAAGCTAACGGTGGCTAATTAACATTCGAGGAAACAAAACTTGCGCACATATATTTATATACACGAATATATATACATCTCGTTCTGGGGAAGCAGACAAGAAGAAGGCGGAACAACGAAACCGGCGTCATCTGGAAAGGAGGAGGGAGGCCGCCGTAGCAAGCTAGGCTCGCCGGAATGCATCGTCACCGACCAGATTGTTTACTCTTGACGTCGGACCACCGTTGTGGATTCTGGAAACTGAGGTCGCCGTTGGGAGGGCATCCTACTGTCCCCAGATCACTGCACACGGCTGAGGATGTTCTCACTGCCGGAGGAGCTAAACAGATCGCCGGAGAAGGACCCAAACTGGTACGCCGGAGAAGGGGCGAGCTGCTGTCGTTGGACCAAGCTACTACCGCCTCCACCTAACATTGAACAAGGCCGTCTTAGAGTTACGAACTCTTGCGGTAACTGCTGCAATCTCCGGCTGGGATAATCGACAAGGAAGACGAAGCCACGCCCTGTACGTAAGCAATCGCTATGACTCCGTATATATTCTATGTTTGGGCTGAATTTTGTTTGGGCAGCTTATTAATAAATAAAGACTGGGCCGATTATCAATTTTAAAAAGTTGCCCGGCTAAATAGAATATAATAACATGAGGTGACTAATAATACAATAAAATAAAATAAGTATGGACTTTTATTGAGATTAATCATAAGAGAGAATTTATAAATAAAAGGGTAAATGAATTTAACTATCGGTAGATATTGATTTTAGAATTTTAATATTTTGAGAAGGTAATTTTGAGCAAGATCGAGATAGAAGTTTCGGCTAGGACTTATCGTGACTTGAGGTAAGTTTCACGTCAACCGAAATTAGTTCTTTTTCTTCGTGTTTTCTTTTAAATATTTTTGTGTGCATATTTGAGAATTGATTTATGTGTGCTGAATTTGAGTGAATATTATTATACGAAAGAGTTGTATTTGAGATATTAGTTGATATATTGTTTCGTTGATATGAGTTATTGTATATGATTTTGGGAGATTTTGTAATAGTACGTAAATTTCTTATCCTTGTGGAATTTGAAGAAAAGGAAATTTTTGAAGTATGAACTTCGAATGATTTTGAGAAGACAAAGAAGAATAAATATTTTCATAAAGAGTGGGCATCACGGGAGAAATCTATGGTGTCGGTTTTCCACGTCCCTTAAAATGTGGAGGGTGATTAGGTCTACTACTACTCAATTTTTGTTGGTTTTAGTTTGAGGTGAATTGACGGTCAAGAGAAAACATCCCGGCTTTTGAGTAGTAGTGGTGCTAGTAGCTTCTAATCATTCAGTTTTTGAGGTGGGGTAGTTGGTAGAAAACATCCCGGCTACCCGGATCGACTTACTAACCCGGAGGGCTTGGAATACCTTTAGGGGGTGTGCACACTTAAAGTAGTTGTTTCCGTTTCCATTGAACAGATGTGGTACCAGCGATAGTCCCGGGGTGGCCGTACATAACAACGGATCACCGGGCTCAACCAAAGTAACGAGCACCGCCCTTCTAAATTACTAGGAATTTAGTTACAAAATGATTTTTGGGAGAAATTCAAAGGAGGAGAATTTTGGTGTTTCATTTATTTTGGAATTATTATGGTTTACGAGTTAATTATGTGATTGGGATTTTATATAGATATCATTTACTTATGATTTATGATTTATAAAGTGTTTTGAAAAATATTTTATGAGGTTGTACGAATTTATATATATTATTTATTATTATTTTAAAAGGTTAGGTGGAACTTACTTAGCATTATTGCTAATGTTTGTTTCTTTTTATTTTCTTTCTGTACATGATTTTTGTACAGGTGTTGAGTTGATCGATGTTGAAGTTGATTTCGAGAGAGAGCTTTCGCTAGAAAACATTATTAGTAAATCATTGTAAATTTCTTTTTCAATAACTTTAATCAGTGAGCTTTTGATTTTGAAGTTTAAGTGGTTTTAGCCTATGCACTCGGTTAAGAGAGAACCGAGTGTGGCGGTAGCACCCCTATTTCCCTTTGAATTTTCCGCTGCACATTTTGTGATGTTTTCAAATAAAGTTAATAATACTTTCCGATAAATCGTTATTTAAATGTATTTTTGGGTGAGAAATTTGGGGGTGTTACACCTACAACCTCTGCAGATTACATGAGATGGTATTACACCATCACACGGGTGTTCATCTCTCCCAGTTTTCGTCTACCCACTGATCATTACCAACCTAGCTCGGTCGCTCTTCATATGACGGTAAACAATAATCACTAAAATAACTTTATTTATTTATTCATTTGTTTTTCACTAATAACCATTTTTGTATTACAGACACGGGCTTTGCGTAGCATCCATGACAGAGCGACTGATGTACTTGATGAGGCAGTAGATGTACAGGGATACCATGAGGCTTGTTCGGGCATTGTTGCACTGTGCGCTGATGTATTGGGCCGAGTAGATTATGGATATATGGCCGACTCTCGGTATTCCACCACATCCGCATCCACAGCAGGGTCTTCTCAGGCAGTCCGGCGTGACAGAGTTGTTCTTCAGCCTCGTAACCAGCGCAGGCACCCCCGAGCACAGCCACAACCACATGAACTTCATGATGATGATGATCACGTTGACTTATGATCTTTGTATTTGTATTATTGTGTGAGAGTTGTAACATGCACTGGCAGATCGAATCATTTTGTGAAACATCGGATTTATTATAACTTTTATGTTGATGGATGGTCTACTCGGGGGTATATATCCGAAGGGTTATTACGGGGAATAACTTAGAGAGAAGTCAGAGCAAGTAAGTAAAAGTAGAGAGAGAGTGTATTCAATATGAATGCCGTTTTCAGCGTGGTTACAAATGAGGAAATGGGGTGCTATTTATAATAGCAATAAATGCCGGGCAGGGACACGTGTCAAGCGCTCATTGGCCGAGGGGTCACCTCAACTGGTTGGCGCTGACAGCCGCATGTGGCCGCATTTAATGCGGCTGTTGGATGGGACGTCTGTGCGGGGTACGGTGATCTGTACGCATGTGAGGCGGATATCCTGTCGAATGAGATGCCTTCGGCTATAGAGCAGTAGCCGAGGGCTCTTCCACCCGATGGCACCCTGGTGCTGAGGGCTCACAGTGCCGAGGGCTACTGTTTTCGCCGTTTTCTCCCAGTTTCTTAATTTGCTTGAGAAACCCGTTCTGTGAGAATTTAGAGCCTTCGGCCAGGGGGCCGAAGGCACCCCTGGCGCGTAGTGCGGGCTGCTTGGTACTCTGGGCGCTGTGATTTGGGCCTGCTGGGCCTTCTGGGCCTGTTGGGCCTTCGCTGGAGTAGTAGAAGTCTGTGGGCCGGGGGTTCCCGGGCCATATACTCCATCAGGAGTCCCTCACTCCTTTTGCCGAAAGGTACTTGAGGGAAAAGGAGTAATTTGTGCTTGCCCTTTGATGTTGTCCCGTCATGATCTCTGAAGTTGGTGAGGAGTTGTTGCTTTTATGTCCCTGCCGAAGGCAGTCCCTCAGTTACCCACATGTCGTGACTTGGGGGCTTGCCTTGTCGTTTGTTGGAATTTCACTGATTTTGTAATTTAATGATTTTCCCGAGGGGGTCCTCCAGTCCCCCACTCCTTGAGGCACTTGTAAAGTGGTGAAAAGGAGTAAAGTAGTTACGTTGCTGTTGTGGGCCGAAGGCTGACGCTTTTTGTTTCATTTTGGGGGGATGCCTCGTTAAAAACCTCATTGGGAAAAACCGTGTGGGAAAAAATCCTAATGAGGGAAAAAGAGTGCACCGAATTCCCCCAATGATGAATCGAAAATGTCAAACCTTGGAAAAAATGGAGAATAACGGGAATGCCGAAGGCTCTTCCTTGTTCTGAGGGCTCATGTGTTGATTAGCCGAAGGCTTGCTGTTGATGTC